AAAGCCCCACTAGTTAAGACTACGCCGTGTGGTAAACGTGCCCTAAGTGTCGTCCTAATATCCACATAAATGATGAGCCCCGTAAGTTTTCACAAAACCTGAATTGACTTGAGCAAAAACTGAAATAACTTTTCCTGTACTAAAAAAAAATCAAAATCAATGAAAATTAATATACATCTATGTAACTGATAATGCTCATTATACTCGTACGAGCGTATGTTCGAAGGGTATAATAAATTTGTTTTATCGTTTGTAATTCCGTAAATAATCATTCCCGTAAATAATTATTTCCGTAAGAACTAAACAGAACCAAACAAAGGTCATAATATTTTGTATTAAGAAATTTCATTAAATTTCTTAAATTAAAAGTTTTTAATAGAAGATTTTTTTTGTTCCTACATTTTATGAAATTGATTTGAAAGTATTTTTGACTGGACTCGCTTTTATATATAAATGAGGTTGGATGATGAATATGAATTAAGTTTGTACTAAGTTTGTTAAATAAACTAAGTGGCTTTAATTTTCTTTCATACCTAAAAATTATTAGAATTAGAAGTTATATTTTCACACCCATGTGCGGAATCTTTGGAGTATTTGTAGCGGCATCAACTAAATTTTGCGACTTGTCGTACTATTAGTCAATTTGCAATTTGAAGAAGCGATTGTTGAATTTGGCGGCTTTAAATTACTTTTTTTTTGTAGCTCTTAATTAAACCACAGACTCATGCAAGTAAACCTAATTCTACATTTTAAAGGCGCAAACATCAATTTATTAGAGACATAAGGCACTTTAAATTATTGAAGAAATTGGCGAAAACTTTTTTCTAGGTTATCCTTTACAGATTTCAATCGTTGTGGTCGATTGTACAATTGTAAAATTTATGTGAGTGGAATAAAATGACGTGGCATAAACACCCGATTAGCTAAGAACACAAACTTTTTAAAATCATTATTATTTCGAACTATACACTTATTTTAATTTATAACATATTAAACATAACATATTAAAAGTCTTTGTTTTATTACAGGATTTCAATCTTTATTTACAACATTTTAATCCCACTACCTCTTGCAATAAGTGTAGAACGGTATAAAGTTCATTAATTATTCTAAAGATGAGAATAAACGTCTGTATGGAAGCTATTTGTATACATTCTATATTGAAATTGGTATAAAAATAAAATTTTTACTCATTTTATTTAATAGTAGAAATATGTTTTCTCTTTAAATGTCATAATATTTCAAATAAGACGAGGGTTCCTTTTAAATTTCCAAAATAAAAATGAAAAATATAAAAATATCGTATACAACGTATAACTGTTATTTCTGACGGGTCAGTTATTTTAATGTAAGAAAAGCAAACAGGTATTTATGTAGTTATTTTTAAGAAAAAATTTTTGAGGAGAAGTCTGATTGTGTATTAAAATATTAATACACATTTTATTTTTTTTTTATATGTATAGACTCATATTTAACCTACTTTGTCAGTTTTCTTTGATATATTCTTGATATCGGTTTTTAGCTCACTTCGAATATTCTTTATTCTGCTACAAATTCAATGAAATATCTGTTTTTAATAAGAATGTTTACTAGTCGAAGAATAAATATGTTTGTACTTTAAATTCCTTTAAATTCAAATTTTTGTGTTATTTTAGTTGCAGTGTGTTAATGATTAAGGTGGAGGGATTCTGCAAAGATATCGTTAAGTTGAAGAAGATCAGCTCTTTGATTTTTGTTTGAGAATAATTGACTAAAAATATAACAATGGTTGGTGGTCGAATGAAATAAAAAAAATTGATTCAAAGATGCTTAAAATACTGCTCGAATGAACTGCTCAAATAAAGTGTTTAAAAAAGGGCCTAAACTAATGGTTCAACAAAGTGCTCGAAAAAGGAATCGAAAAAGCTATTCGAAAAAGTAATGGAACAAACAGCATAAAAAATTCTTAAAAAAGGACTTGAAAAAGGAAAAAGTACCCTAAAGTATTTAAATAAACTTTATAACTGTATAAGTATAGGGGATAGGATGATAGAAAAGTTTTTTGTTACATATTCATTATTTTTTTTTACCGAAATATCTGGCAATCATACAATAAACAAGTTGTACTCGCACTAAACTGCAGTTTTTTTTTTGTGCTACTCACCATTGATTTATTTGTTCACATATTTATTTATTGTGCATATTGTCAACCATATTATTATATAAATTTTTATTATACTTGAGTGCGCTAAATACATGATATAATATTATTTATATATGAACATAATAATAAATTCACAATTTTTAATCAAAATAAATCTAATATTGCCCCGTTTTTTTTTTGTTTTTATAGGTTATGATTGTTGTAATTAGTTTTTAAAAGGTTGATAAATTGATTCGATAAAATGTAAAAATCAATTAATTTAAAAATAGTATTTGTTATTAATGCTGATTTTTTTAAAGTTCTTGTGGTATTTGTTTTATTCAAATAAAGCCTATATTAATCATTTGTTTAAAATGAAACGAATAATTTTAATATTATTTTTATTTTTATATTTTCCATATTTAAAATCGATTCAAAATCACAATAATTCAATCGAATTACGGATTATAAATGAAATTGTAGAAAAATATAATTTGAATAATTTAATTTTATATAATTTCCAAAATTTGAATAATTTTAATTATAAATTAATTAAAATTCCAATATTACAATTTAACAATGCAAGTGTTAATAATTTCAAATTGTACAATACAACAATTAATAAGATTGGATTAGTTATTATAAATTTAATAAATATAAATTTAGAAACTAATTTAAATTTTAATGAAATTCTTATTCAATTGGATTTACAATTATGGAGAATGCATCAAATTAAAATGATATTTTTAATAGAAATCAATTTAAATCGTAAAAATATTTTTAATTTATTTGAATGGTGTTTTCTAAAACATTTTTTAAATGCAATTGCAATACAACATCAAGATACAAAAACTGTGGTAAATCTTGAAAAATATCAACTTATACAATATTTTCCATTTCCAAAATTAATTTTACAAAATATGAGTTTAATAAATTGGAATTCAGTTGAAATTTTTCCAAATAAAATAAAAAATATAATGGGTTATCCATTTAAAACTATTATAAGTCACCATCCACCATGGATGTTTCGGATTCAAAATATTACAAGTGGAATAGGATATAAATTTTTCACACATTTTACTGAATCAATTAATGGAACATTTTTGGAAGTACCATCTGATTATAAAAAATTTGATCATGGTAGAACAGCACAAGAATTATTTTCTGGTAAAATTGATATTCTTATGACTGTTATATCTCGATATTATCTTGATATTTATGGAAATGAATCTGTATATTTAAGTGATATTACAAATATGAATTTATTAGTACCAGTTGGTAAATTAATTCAACCATATTTATTTTATTTAAAACCATTTCAATTAGAATTATGGTTTGTATTATGTTTTGGTTATTTTTATATAAGTTTTATATTAACAATTTTAAATTATATACAATTTTCTAAATGGGATTTTTCTTATAATTTATTATCAATATTACAAGCTTATATTTCAACAGCATTTAAACAAAAATTAATATTAAATTTTAAAATCAAATTTATTTTTTTATTTATATTCGTATATGGTTTCATATTAACACAATTATATTTGGCAATGTTAATAACATTAATAAAATTTAATTTATATGAAAATGAAATTGATACATTAGATGATATTTTAAATGCAAACTTGCAAATTATGATATTAAATAATTCATATAACAATACATTAGCAAATTATGATGCAATGTTTCCACGAAAATATTCAAAAATATTGAAACCAGTTAATTTTTACGAATTCAATATGAATAGATTTAATTTAAATATAAATTACGTATACGAATGTGTTGACATATCGGCCGAATTTATATTAAAACAAGAAGAGAAATTATTGAGGCCTACAATGAGAATAAGTAAACATGTTATAAATCAAGTGATGTTACATTTTCCAATTGCAGCCGATAGCATATTCTTAGATAAATTGAATATTTTTATGTTGTACGTTAATGAGAATGGTTTTATTCTAAAATGGAAAAAAGATACTTTAAATGATGGCATTAAAATTGGTATTTTGAAGCATAGTTTTAATGAAAATGAATATAAAAATTTAACAGTTTTAAGTATAAAAGATTTACAAATTGCATGGTATATTTTATTATTAGGATTATCAATTGCTTCTACAAGTTTTGTTTTTGAAATTATAAAAATTAGAATAAAAACTGTTGTGTTGGAAAAATTTTTCAACAAATAGTATGATAAATAAAAATTCGTTTGAAATTTTTTAATTATTTTTATTACTTTTCACATATTTTAAATATGTTTTGCTATATAAGAGTGTGGTATAGCTCTAAATTTAATCAATTAATCATAAACAACAACAATAACAAAAATAAGCGTTCAACGCACTCGGCTCAGCGAAGTTTTAAAAATTTGATGATAAAAATTAATGACAAAGTAAAAATATCAACAGCAAATTGAACTTATTGCCCCACAACTATTAGCTTTACGAGAATAAAATCTTTTCAAAATTTCAGGGAATTTTTTCTTGAAGAACAAAGTGTCGTAATTGAGTGGATAAAAGTCAAATTATATCACAAAAGAAATTTCTTCTTAACTATACATACTTCTTCCCTCATTTCGTTTAAACTAAATTTAGATTTTCGCTAAACGAAAATTAAAAACATTCATTTGATAACGCGAACAAAATAGTTTCTGAATAAAATTTACTGCCAACGAAATGAGATTTGAAAAAAATTTATCACAGTTGTTTGCGGTTTTTTAACCAGAGAATTTCCGTTTGAAAATTTGATGTTAGTTTTTTCAAACTACTTTCGCATGTTCGTCAACTTAATATAAAAGTACAAATATGCTCAGAACAAGATGTCAGTGCGTGAATGCGAATCATTTTTTACACTTGTTTCCTGAGCGGTTGAAATAAAAATGTCGGCTAATAAAAAGGATTTATTGTTACTTTTTGAGCGTCCACAAGAACCGGTTTTTATGAAAAAGGGTGAAGACAATGCTGTTTTTGATGTTCCAGAAAAATTTCTAACTAAAAGGCATCAATCAATTGGACCAGGATTATTGGAGCGTCTAAGCGAAGACGCAGGTCGGCGTATTCAAGTTAAAGACATTGATTTACCAGACTTAACAGAGCAGATGAGTTTAGGACGTTATGAACAATTTTCACTTTTTATTCCATTTCATCGAGCTTTAGCCGGATCTCTAATTGACATATTTATGGGTTAGACTTTATTAATTTAAACTTAAAATTGTTTTTGAATTTCAGTAAATATATTTGTTTTTTAGGAGCAAAATCAATTGAAGAACTTCTAAGCATTGCTGTATATTCTCGAGATAGACTCAATCCCTATTTATTTAACTATGCTTTTTCAGTTGCTTTAATGCACAGACCAGATACCAAATATTTAAAAATTCCATCTCTAGCTGAAATATTTCCAGAAAAATTTATTGCATCAAAAGCATTTGCCAGAATACGTGAAGAACTTGCTGTAATACCAGAAAGTTCAAGAACACCAGTTGTTGTGCCGCATAATTTTACAATATCAGATCGTGAAGAGGAACATCGTTTATGGTATTTTCGTGAAGATATGGGAGCAAATTTACATCATTGGCATTGGCATTTAATTTATCCATTTGAAACAAATAGCCGTGAAATAGTAAGAAAAGATCGTAGAGGAGAAATATTTTATTTTATGCATCAACAAATTGTTGCGCGTTACAATATGGAACGTTTCAGTAATGATTTACCCAGAGCAAAAACATTTTCAAATCTTCGTGAGCCTATTGTTGAAGGATATTTTCCAAAAATTAATGCACTTTTGTCAAACCAAGCCGCTCCCCCACGTTTACCTGGGACTCAATTGCAGGATATTGATATACCGGTTGAACAATTGCGCGTTGATATATCTAATTTAGAATTATGGAGAGATCGATTTCTTGAAGTAATCGATAAAGGATATTTTATTGATGTAAGGTTTTACAATATAAAACTCAAAGCTAGTCATTTTTAGTTTAAATTTTCTTGTTTTAGGAATATGAAAATAAATTTCCTCTTGATGATGTAACAGGCATTGATTATTTAGGTAATATAATGGAATCGTCAATAATATCACCAAATCGTAGATACTATGGTGATTTACATAATATGGGTCATGTTTGTATATCATATTCACATGATCCACAACATCTTCATTTGGAATCTTTTTCTGTTATGGCTGATTCAGCTACAGCTATGAGAGATCCTAGTTTTTACCGTTGGCACAGTCATATAGATGACTTATTTGAATATTATAAAGCAAAACTACCAAAATATAATGAGCAACAATTAGGTTATAAAGGAATTATTGTAAATGATATTTTAGTTGAAACTCCAAATGAAGCTCCAAACACATTACATACATTTTGGCAACAATCTGATATTAATATAGGAAGAGGTGTTGACTTTGCCCCTCGTAGTGGTGAAATTTTTGCAAGAATTACGCATCTTCAACATCATCCTTTCACGTACACATTTAAGGTAACAAATAATAACGATTTGGTAAAATTTGGAACAGTTCGTGTTTACTTAGGTCCAAAATATGATGAAAATTCCAAAAAAATGAAATTTAATGAAAATCGTAGATTTATGTGTGAAATGGATAGATTTAAAGTGCAACGTAAATTCAATTTTTCTTATTTAGCAATATTGTAAAGCAAAAATTACTGTACCTTTTTTTTATAGTTCATCCTGGGGAAAACACTATTAAGCGTCGTTCAAATGAATCAGATTTGACAACAAACTTTGAAAATACCTTTCGAAATTTAAGTGAAGCTAGATCTGGTGATGGTGGTCCAGAAGAGTTGGAGGAAAATTTCTGTGGTTGTGGTTGGCCTGATCATTTATTGGTACCAAAAGGAAATGAAAAAGGTTTTCAATGTGAATTATTTGTTTTTATATCAAATTATGACGATGATAAGGTAATTAAGTGTAAATTTAAATAAAATAAAACTTTAAAATATTATATTGTTGTTGTAGATTGAACAAGATCTTGTTGGACAGTGTACGACTGCTACTGTCTTCTGTGGCCTTCGTGATCGTAAATATCCAGATAAAAGGCCAATGGGATTTCCATTTGATCGTCCAGCAAATGAAAATGTTGAAACATTTGATGATTTTCTTTTATCAAACATGAAAATGGAAGATGTTAAAATTTTCCACAAAAATGTTATAACATCTAGACCAGAAACCAAGAAAAAGGATAAAAATATATAAAAATTTTTAAAAATAAAACAAAATATATTTCTTTAACCGCAATAAAATTGAATTTATAAAATATAAGTTGATTTTTTCAATGTAATTTAAGGTTTTTATTAGACTAGGTTTTGATAATCAGTTCAAGTTACAAAAATAGAGCTTGAATTATAAAGTAGAGTAAATGAAATTGTTAATTCGTTATTAGATTTAAGGGTATAAAAACAAAATCCCATTTTAAAGAAGAACTTTAAAGTTCATTAAGAAAAATCACCAGTGCACTACGAAACCATTATCTTATACATTATATCGTCATTATAATTCAATAAGACAATTCTGTTAAACAACTATTATTTCCCAACAAATTAGTTAACTTGTGTAACTAACGTTCTTAAATAACACCTAGCTGTAATTGAATATAATCAGATGTAATATTTATTTTTTGTGGAAAGAATTACAAAGTTCTTATACCACAGTCATAACCTTCACTCAGTAAGATTGAAACGTTCCTCTTCTCAAATATTAATGCAATTACTGAATATTAAATTTTTGAGGAAATTAAAATTATTATTTTGCAGGAGATCTTGTAAAAATCCATTTGAAATATTTCCATGAAATAACTAATAACCCATACGATGTTAATTAAGAGTTTTAAATTCTTTTTTTTAGTTTGAAATTGATAAATGAATGTCTAAGAGCTAAATGTTGTTCTAAATTTCTAATAATAAGATTTTTAGGTACGATTTTTAGGTAAGATTTTTCAATATTTTTATCATATCAAATTTTAGAAGAATTTCCCGTTTTTATACAGAGTTCTCTTGCAAGCCTTATTTTCTTGAAATAACTTCGTGATATTCCTATCAAGTTATTCACCAAAGTTAAAAGCGCAAAATTTATTAAATGCAAAATTTGTTAAAAATTCTTTTAAAATATTGTAAGTTATCCGTGATTTTATAACTTTCAATAACGATTGCATTAAAATCTTGTATAATTTATAAGTAAGTTAAATTTGTCAGTCATGTTACATAAATTTCCATCTGTATGTTGCCTAGAAAAAAAGACGTAGGCCGATATTTTAAGTTTTGTTTTATACTCTTTGAGAGATTTATCCTTTTCGGTTTAAAATTGTTTAATTTTTCTAGCATTTTTTAATTCCTGAACATGAATATAACTTCTCTAAGACAACATTGTACTCTCGGAAACTGGCTTTTAAATTTGGCTCTTATTCGAAGGATATCTTAACTACGTACTTTTTTCTAATTTTGTTCTAAATATTTTTCAAGTTGAATTTTTTAACATTGAAAAAATTTATGTTTTCCGTTTTCCGATTCGTGTTAAAGAATGAAGCTTTCCTCATATTATTGTTTATTATTTCATAATTTTTATTACTTTTAATATTCACATTATGTAGGTTTCAAAATTTGCATTACCTTGGTTGCCAAACATGTGAGATATGCGTACTAGACAAACCGGAACGGCTTGTAATGGGTACAACACTATGTATTCTTAATCTCAGGAATACTGGGAACAAATGAATCTTCTCCTAAAATATCAGAAATAGTGTTTTAAAAAAAAGGGGTAAAGCTAAAATTCAATCAGGCTTCTAATTACGATAATTTAAATTAAAACTTTGTTGTTTAATCAGATAAACAGTAAAATTTGTTTTAAATTCTAAACCACAATGTACAAATGTTAGAAAATATGTTTGCATTAAAAATTTTTTTTTGAAATATCATTGCTGTACACTTTGTGTTTACTGTGGTTTTAGCCTTTAGCCACCAATGTCAAAACTACTGCTATTGTTCAACGCGTCGTTATCTTATAGTTTGGTGGTTTACAATGTGATTTCCAAGCAAAACTTTCAGTATAAAAGTATTCCAAAAAGTGGAAAAGCACATCAGTTTTTTTCTAGCTCTTCATACGGGAGCATTAATAAAACTATTTACAAAATAAATTTACCGAATTCAATTTTGTTTTTCTAATACAACACAACTATAGTAAAATGGTCAACAAAACGGATCTTCTCTTATTATTTGAACGTCCACAAGAACCAGTTTTTGTTCAGAAAGGAAAGGACAAAGCAGTTTTTGATGTTCCAGATAAATTTTTAACAGATCGTTATCGTCCCATAGGCAATGAATTAACAACTCGTTTTGGTGATGAATCTAAAAGGAAAATTGTCGTTAAGGATATTAGTATTCCTGATTTAAAGATTCCAATGAGTCTTGGTCGACATGAACAATTTTCTTTATTTATACCAAAACATCGAGCAATCGCTGGTCGTCTAATAGACATTTTTGTTGGTAAGGAAATATAAAAAAATTATGTATGTTCTTTTTTTCTTTATAAAATATTTATTAAAATAGGACTAAGATCTTTGGATGATCTCCAAAGTGTAGCTGTTTATGCTCGTGATCGTCTCAATCCAGTTTTATTCAATTATGCTCTATCAGTTGCTTTGTTACACCGTGCTGATACTAAGGGACTTAATTTACCATCGTTTGTTGAATCGTTTCCAGATAGATATATTGACTCAAAAGTTATAAATCAAGTTAGGGAAGAAGCAACTGTTGTACCAGAAGGTTCGCGTGTACCAATTGTTATCCCCAGAGATTATACTGCTTCAGATCTTGATGAAGAGCATCGGTTATGGTATTTCCGAGAAGATATGGGTGTTAATTTACATCACTGGCATTGGCATTTAGTTTACCCATTCGAATCTAATAACAGAGCTATCGTTGATAAGGATCGCCGCGGTGAATTGTTCTATTATATGCATCAACAACTTGTAGCCCGTTATAATTTGGAAAGATTCAGCAATAATTTAGCCAGAGTGAAGCGTTTTAATAATCTACGTGACCCAATTAAAGAAGGTTATTTTCCAAAAATGGATTCATTAGTAGCGAGTCGTGCTTGGCCTCCGCGTTTTGCTGATACGACACTTAAAGACTTAAATCGAGAACTAGATCAAATAAAATTGGATATTGGAGATTTGGAGAGGTGGAGGGATCGATTTTATGAAGCTATTCATCAAGGATTTGTTGTAGACGTTAGTATTAGCACCACAAGATTGGTTCAATGAATTTTAAGAAAATATGATTTTATAAATAATATATTATTTTACCGTTTTGAATAGGAAAGAGGAACTCGTATCCCCCTAGATGAAAATCGAGGTATCGATATTTTAGGAAATATGATGGAATCTTCAATTTTATCTCCAAATCGTCAATTATATGGTGATTTACACAACATGGGACACGTATTTCTTTCATATGCCCACGATCCTGATCACCGTCATTTAGAATCATTTGGGGTAATTGGTGATTCAACTACTGCTATGCGAGATCCAGTATTTTATCGTTGGCATGCATATGTTGATGATATTTTCCAGGAACATAAGGAAAGCTTAAATCCGTATACTCAGCAGCAATTAGATTATCCAGGAATTAATGTTACTGGAGTACAAGTACAGCCAGAAGGGGGTCAACCTAATGTACTTACTACATTTTGGCAACAATCTGATATTGATTTATCTCGTGGCATGGATTTTGTACCGCGCGGTAACGTTTTCGCAAGATTCACTCATTTGCAACATGAACCTTTCACATATACTATTAATATAAACAATGCAAGTGGCGCTCAACGTTTTGGTACTGTAAGAATTTTCTTAGGACCTAAAGTTGATGAAAGAAATCAAGAAATGTTGTTCCGTGACCAACGTTTAATGATGGCTGAATTAGATAAATTTATAATACAGCGTAAGTTTAAGCTAAAAATAGATTTTTGAGTCGATTAAGAATTGAAAATATTTGCAAAATATATTTTAGTCCGTCCCGGTCAAAACACAATTCGTCGCCGTTCTGATGAATCAAGCGTTACAATTCCTTTCGAAAGAACTTTCCGCAATCTAGATGCTAATCGTCCTGCTGAAGGTACTCCTGATGAATTGGAATTTAATTTCTGTGGTTGTGGTTGGCCCGATCATATGCTTATACCAAGAGGTCGCCCTGAAGGTTTAAGATGTGAATTATTTGTTATGGTTTCAAATTATGATGACGATAGGGTAAAATTTAATTATACTTGATTTCATTTTAATTTTACTTAAATTTCATTATTTACCTGATGTATAGGTTGATCAGGATCTAGTTGGACAATGTTCAGATGCTGCTGCGTATTGTGGCGTACGAGATCGTCTTTATCCAGACAGACGTCCAATGGGTTTTCCATTCGATCGTTTGGCTCGTGCTGGTGTAGATAGATTGAATCAATTTTTATATGGAAATATGAGAACTGCTGATGTTAGCATCCGCCATAATAATGTTACCCGTCAACGTCCACAATAATTGAACTAACATCGAAATTTTGAATTTCAGCAGTTTACATTTCTTTTTTATTATAATTTAACCGTTTTTGTATTGTTTCGGCTTTTGACTATAATTTCAAAATAAATATATAAAATTATTAAAAAATACCTTTTTTGCCTATTTTGTTAAAACAAACAGTCAGACAAACAATAATACTTTTATTTTGCAATAACTCATTCCGAATGAACCAGGAACAATGGTTAGCATAAAATTGAACTTTGAGCAATAGTAAATTGACTTTTTTTAACATTCGATCTTAATTGGGGTCTAAAAATCGAAAGTTACTAAAAGAACTAAAATAATAGACTTGTGGCCTTGTTATTGCATAATTAATTTAATTTTTAAATAGCTACTAACTTTAGTTTAGTGAAGCTTTAGTTTAGTTCATTTTCTGTTTACTTAAATCAGGGCAGTCCTATTAAGCAAGTGAATATTGTATCTACTAGTCGGCAAAGCATTAACCTTTTTTCGTTTAAGATAGCGACATACAGAAATACATATGTACATTTTTCTCGTACTTATATATGTATACATTATTTATTCTGTAATATATTTTTACAGAAGATAACACTTGTTGTAGGCGGAATTCATTATGATTGCTTTAACAAAATAGCTTGTACAACGTGTATTATTTTGATGTTCATATGTTATGTATATGGACTGTGTATAAATATGTAAGAGTTATATAGTGTAAAGTACCAATTTGTATTGTAGATTTTTCAATTCATCTAAAACATACGTTTGTTTGTATATTTAGAAAACATGTTAAATTTTTGTTTTGTTTAGTTGCGAAAATTTGTTTTACACAAAATATATACATTACGTTATTTAAATAAATAGAAATTGAAGTGATTGAGTTTGCCGAGTAAAGAAGTTCTAGATTTGATTTGCCATTAGCCCGGAGATTAAGAAATACCACTTATTACGCACTTAGCAAATTTAATAAAAAATCATTTGAGTAGAAAAGCAAATTTTCAATATAAGATTTCTGTATAAAGATGTTATTAGCATAAGGGTTTGTTTCTACTACAAATTTCATAAGTCCAGCTTTTCTATTAAAATGTACTTCTCGGTGCTAGTGCCGTGCGAAAAAATATTATAAGCAAGAGTTTTATCCATCTGTCAGTATATGTACCTTCTGATATGAAAATGTTCAACTAAACAACCGAGTTTCCTTCATAGTTGCAAAACGTAATGGCTGGAGAATAGCATATTGCGTCTCTCATTGATACAGCTCTGTAAGTTAGTTTGTATACAGAGGCATATAGCAGTGCACTTCGATATGAGGCATCCTGTATATATTTATATCTACAAACAAAAAGAATATGTAGTAAATATTAATAAAGTTAAATTTACAATATGGAAAGAGAGCTAAAGCTACCTAGTTAATTTCTTTAAATACAATTAATTTTACAAAAAGAATAGGTCGAGGTTAATACTCATTGTACCAAAAATAATGAGCAAGGAAAGACAATCCTCAAAAGCAACTAATTAAAACCAAATTAGTAGTTCGAAAGCTACTAATAAGGACTAAATTGCAAATATATTAAAATCGTTTTTTCTTGCTAATAGTTTTTAGGAATCCCTTAACTTTCTTGCATAAATAATCTGTTGAATATTTGAGCACAAAAGAATTTGTATATGTAAGTGCGTACCCAAATTTTTTAAAACTTAAGGTTGAATACGAGACCAATAACAAAACGTAGAAAGAAGGATTTGTAAATAACGTTGTGGTTTAATTTTCATTTTCCTTTTTTTTAGTTAACGAAAGTAGAATGCATATTTTAATAGTGTGATTATACAATGTTGGTTGGACACTTAAAAACAGAAATTTATTACGATAAAAGCATTATTAAAATTTCTTTAATTATCTTAATATTATGGTTGGTGGAATTTTACTTATTATAAAAAAAAAGTTTATTGCATTTGTGATTCCGACTTTTTTTGTGTAATAACTTTTTGTTTAAACTAGAAAAAACCTGCTCGATCACGTCATTTATACCGCACTTCGTTTTATTCTGATGAATATTTGTTTTTTTGTATGTATGCATATTTTTTAAAATCTTTCTTTATACTTTATACGTCATTCAGAACAGAGTACTGAGAGATATAGTAAAGGCACCTTGGTATGTAAGAAATTCTACCATACATAGAGATCTCAACATTAGCACGGTCGAAGAAGAAATAAAAAGATACTCCATCAAACATGTAAATAGAATACAGCAGCATCACAACACTGAAATGAGACAAATAATGGTCAACGAAGTTCCTAGACGACTCAATAGAAAAAGACGTACTGATATACACCTGCGTTGAGAAAGAATTCATATGACCCTTGGGGTTGCCAACAATGGATGGTTTCCCCCACACTTAAATAAAGAGATAGAAGAAAATTGCTGGATAGGTCAACTTGACTTAGTTGCAATAAATTGAAGAATTTAAAAAAAAAAAAAAAAAAAACATATTTATCTATTATAGTCCCAAGCACTTTAATATTAAATAAAAGTAAAACGATTTTATTGTATTTGTATAATTTATATAAAACTATTCAAATGTTGTAGACTTGTTCTGATTCCTGTAAAAAAATAAGATTGTATAAAAAACCAGAATACCATTCTTACACAGAGGTAAAAGCTAGAGTATTTATTTAGTTTGTGCTAGCAATTTCTAAGCAGATTTCTAGAGCCGAAATAAAGGAAACATTTTTTTAAACAGAAGAAAAATTTTGTGATCTTTCTTCATTAATTTATCCATTTTTCACTGCTTCTAAATGCAATGAACATGTTTATGAAAAGCTGGAAGTGTTAAAAAATTTTATTAAACAATTTCTTTTGTTATTTTGAGTGCACAAATAAAATTTTAATTTATTAAATTTTATATGAAATGTAGATCACATGTAAATTGGATTAAAATTAGGGCACGTACATATTTTTCCAATTCATTTTATGTTTTTAAGATTTTCTGTAGATTAAAAATTTGTTTATACTCGTAACATTTTTGATAAAAAAAAAATTTTAACGAATTCAATTTGACCACAAATTTAGAAAAAGAATAATTTTTAACCAAATTAAATTTTCTGAGAAAATATATTTTTTTATCAGAATTTGGTGGTTGTTAAACAAATATTCTTGTTTAAAAGATTTCTGTTTTGGTATATAAACACGGTTAATTTAAAACAAGCATTAGTCTACTGAAAACTTTATTCAGTAAACACCGGTTTTTTGAAATATCAAAATTTTTAATAAAATTGTTGTTTCTTCGTACTTAAGTTCGTTATTTGGACAATGGCTAATAAAAAGGATCTCCTCTTACTCTTTGATCGTCCTAAAAGAACTAAAATAATAGACTTGTGGCCTTGTTATTGCATAATTAATTTAATTTTTAAATAGCTACTAACTTTAGTTTAGTGAAGCTTTAGTTTAGTTCATTTTCTGTTTACTTAAATCAGGGCAGTCCTATTAAGCAAGTGAATATTGTATCTACTAGTCGGCAAAGCATTAACCTTTTTTCGTTTAAGATAGCGACATACAGAAATACATATGTACATTTTTCTCGTACTTATATATGTATACATTATTTATTCTGTAATATATTTTTACAGAAGATAACACTTGTTGTAGGCGGAATTCATTATGATTGCTTTAACAAAATAGCTTGTACAACGTGTATTATTTTGATGTTCATATGTTATGTATATGGACTGTGTATAAATATGTAAGAGTTATATAGTGTAAAGTACCAATTTGTATTGTAGATTTTTCAATTCATCTAAAACATACGTTTGTTTGTATATTTAGAAAACATGTTAAATTTTTGTTTTGTTTAGTTGCGAAAATTTGTTTTACACAAAATATATACATTACGTTATTTAAATAAATAGAAATTGAAGTGATTGAGTTTGCCGAGTAAAGAAGTTCTAGATTTGATTTGCCATTAGCCCGGAGATTAAGAAATACCACTTATTACGCACTTAGCAAATTTAATAAAAAATCATTTGAGTAGAAAAGCAAATTTTCAATATAAGATTTCTGTATAAAGATGTTATTAGCATAAGGGTTTGTTTCTACTACAAATTTCATAAGTCCAGCTTTTCTATTAAAATGTACTTCTCGGTGCTAGTGCCGTGCGAAAAAATATTATAAGCAAGAGTTTTATCCATCTGTCAGTATATGTACCTTCTGATATGAAAATGTTCAACTAAACAACCGAGTTTCCTTCATAGTTGCAAAACGTAATGGCTGGAGAATAGCATATTGCGTCTCTCATTGATACAGCTCTGTAAGTTAGTTTGTATACAGAGGCATATAGCAGTGCACTTCGATATGAGGCATCCTGTATATATTTATATCTACAAACAAAAAGAATATGTAGTAAATATTAATAAAGTTAAATTTACAATATGGAAAGAGAGCTAAAGCTACCTAGTTAATTTCTTTAAATACAATTAATTTTACAAAAAGAATAGGTCGAGGTTAATACTCATTGTACCAAAAATAATGAGCAAGGAAAGACAATCCTCAAAAGCAACTAATTAAAACCAAATTAGTAGTTCGAAAGCTACTAATAAGGACTAAATTGCAAATATATTAAAATCGTTTTTTCTTGCTAATAGTTTTTAGGAATCCCTTAACTTTCTTGCATAAATAATCTGTTGAATATTTGAGCACAAAAGAATTTGTATATGTAAGTGCGTACCCAAATTTTTTAAAACTTAAGGTTGAATACGAGACCAATAACAAAACGTAGAAAGAAGGATTTGTAAATAACGTTGTGGTTTAATTTTCATTTTCCTTTTTTTTAGTTAACGAAAGTAGAATGCATATTTTAATAGTGTGATTATACAATGTTGGTTGGACACTTAAAAACAGAAATTTATTACGATAAAAGCATTATTAAAATTTCTTTAATTATCTTAATATTATGGTTGGTGGAATTTTACTTATTATAAAAAAAAAGTTTATTGCATTTGTGATTCCGACTTTTTTTGTGTAATAACTTTTTGTTTAAACTAGAAAAAACCTGCTCGATCACGTCATTTATACCGCACTTCGTTTTATTCTGATGAATATTTGTTTTTTTGTATGTATGCATATTTTTTAAAATCTTTCTTTATACTTTATACGTCATTCAGAACAGAGTACTGAGAGATATAGTAAAGGCACCTTGGTATGTAAGAAATTCTACCATACATAGAGATCTCAACATTAGCACGGTCGAAGAAGAAATAAAAAGATACTCCATCAAACATGTAAATAGAATACAGCAGCATCACAACACTGAAATGAGACAAATAATGGTCAACGAAGTTCCTAGACGACTCAATAGAAAAAGACGTACTGATATACACCTGCGTTGAGAAAGAATTCATATGACCCTTGGGGTTGCCAACAATGGATGGTTTCCCCCACACTTAAATAAAGAGATAGAAGAAAATTGCTGGATAGGTCAACTTGACTTAGTTGCAATAAATTGAAGAATTTAAAAAAAAAAAAAAAAAAAACATATTTATCTATTATAGTCCCAAGCACTTTAATATTAAATAAAAGTAAAACGATTTTATTGTATTTGTATAATTTATATAAAACTATTCAAATGTTGTAGACTTGTTCTGATTCCTGTAAAAAAATAAGATTGTATAAAAAACCAGAATACCATTCTTACACAGAGGTAAAAGCTAGAGTATTTATTTAGTTTGTGCTAGCAATTTCTAAGCAGATTTCTAGAGCCGAAATAAAGGAAACATTTTTTTAAACAGAAGAAAAATTTTGTGATCTTTCTTCATTAATTTATCCATTTTTCACTGCTTCTAAATGCAATGAACATGTTTATGAAAAGCTGGAAGTGTTAAAAAATTTTATTAAACAATTTCTTTTGTTATTTTGAGTGCACAAATAAAATTTTAATTTATTAAATTTTATATGAAATGTAGATCACATGTAAATTGGATTAAAATTAGGGCACGTACATATTTTTCCAATTCATTTTATGTTTTTAAGATTTTCTGTAGATTAAAAATTTGTTTATACTCGTAACATTTTTGATAAAAAAAAAATTTTAACGAATTCAATTTGACCACAAATTTAGAAAAAGAATAATTTTTAACCAAATTAAATTTTCTGAGAAAATATATTTTTTTATCAGAATTTGGTGGTTGTTAAACAAATATTCTTGTTTAAAAGATTTCTGTTTTGGTATATAAACACGGTTAATTTAAAACAAGCATTAGTCTACTGAAAACTTTATTCAGTAAACACCGGTTTTTTGAAATATCAAAATTTTTAATAAAATTGTTGTTTCTTCGTACTTAAGTTCGTTATTTGGACAATGGCTAATAAAAAGGATCTCCTCTTACTCTTTGATCGTCCTCAAGAACCAGTATTTCTTCATAAAGGCGATGATAAGGCTGTGTTTGAGGTTCCTGATAATTTTTTGTCTGAACGTTATCGTCCAATTGGTAACACGTTAACAACTCGTTTTGGTGGAGAAGCGAACAGAAAAATTGCAGTAAAGGAGATAAGTATTCCTGATTTAAAAATTCCCATGACTGTAGAACGACAGGAACCATTTTCATTGTTTATTCCAAAGCATCGAGTGGCCGCTGGTCGTCTCATTGATATTTTTATGGGTACAAATGTTATTAAATTCATAAACTTTTTTTCCAGAAAAATGTATAGAAATATTCACAAGAAATATATAATTTTGTTTTATAATATCAACAGGTTTAAGAACTATAGATGATCTACAAAGTGTTGCTGTATATGCACGTGATAGACTTAATCCACTATTATTCAATTATGCTCTATCAGTTGCTTTGTTACATCGTCCGGACACTAAGAGTCTTAATATTCCGTCATTAGTCGAAACCTTTCCAGACAAATATATTGACTCGAAAGTTCTTAATCAAATTAGAGAGGAAACAAATGTTGTATCAGAAGGATCACGTATGCCAATTATAATTCCTAGGGATTACACAGCTTCAGATCTTGAAGAGGAGCATCGCTTATGGTACTTCCGTGAAGATATGGGTATTAATATACATCATTGGCATTGGCATTTGATATATCCCTTTGAATCAGCCAATAGAGCTATTGTTGACAAAGATCGTCGTGGAGAAATATTTTATTATATGCATCAACAAATAATGGCTCGCTACAATTTGGAGCGTTTTAGTAATAATTTAGCTAGAGTGAAACGCTTGAATAATTTTCGTGATCCAATCAAAGAAGGCTATTTTCCGAAAATGGATTCCTTAGTGGCAAGCCGTGCATATCCACCTAGAATGGATAATAGTGTTATGAAGGACATAAATCGTGAATTAGATCAGCTTAAATTGGATGTTGGTGCATTGGAAAGATGGAGAGATCGTTTTTATGAAGCTATTCACCAAGGATTTATTGTGGATGTAAATAATAAAAAAAATTATAAGATTAGGTGGAGAAAATATTTAATATTCATTTTTAAATGTTTTAGGAAAGCAACAACCGTATTCCGTTAGATGAAACTCGTGGCATTGATATTCTTGGTAATATGATGGAATCTTCAATTTTGTCACCGAATCGTCAATTATATGGTGATTTACATAATATGTTGCACGTGTTTCTTTCATATGTGCATGATCCCGATCATCGTTATTTGGAATCGTTTGGTACGGTGGGTGACTCATCGACTTCTATGAGAGATCCAGCATTTTATCCTTTGCATGCATTTGTTGATGACGTCTTCCAGGAACATAAGGAAAGTTTGACCCCATACACACAGCAGCAACTCGACTACCCCGGAATTAATGTAACTGGAATACAAGTTCAACCTGAAGGAGGACAACCTAATATTCTGACAACATTTTGGCAACAATCTGATATTAATCTATCTCGTGGTATGGATTTTGTTCCACGTGGCAATGTTTTTGCTAGATTCACTCATTTGCAACATGATCCATTTACATATAATATCAATATTAACAATGGTAGTGATGCTCAGCGCTTTGGAACCGTTAGAATATTCTTAGGACCCAAACAAGATGAACGTAACCAAGCAATGTTATACCGCGATCAACGCTTATTAATGATTGAATTGGACAGATTTGTTGTTCAATGTTAGTGTACTCGTAGTAATTAAAATTTTAAAAAAAATTGTTTTAAAACATTTCATTTTATAGTGCGCCCAGGACAAAATACTATTCGTCGCCGTTCAACTGAATCAACTTTAACAATACCGTTTGAGAGAACTTTCAGAAATTTGGATACAAATCGTCCCGTTCAAGGAAGCGCAGAAGAGTTGGAGTTTAATTTTTGTGGGTGTGGCTGGCCACAACATATGCTTATACCTAAAGGCCGACCTGAAGGTTTACAGTGTGAATTGTTTGTTATGGTTTCAAATTACGATGATGATAGGGTAAATTTACCTTCTAATTTTTTGTTTGTTTACTTACGTTTATTTTTTTACAAGGTTGACCAAGATTTGGTTGGGCAATGTTCAGATGCTGCCATATATTGTGGTGTTAGAGATCGTCTTTACCCAGATAAACGTCCAATGGGTTTCCCATTCGATCGCTTGGCCCGTGCTGGTGTTGATAGATTGGATCAATTCTTATATGGAAATATGAGAACAGCTGACATCGTAATCCGCCATAATAACGTTACACAAATGCGCCAACAATAATTCCATAGAAAATTTCTTTAACTGATTTATATTTACATTTTTATATATTATTCAAATTGTTAAATGTAAACAATAAATTTGTTGAGAATTACCTAGGACAATTTAATTGTATTCGATTTTCCATTGTCTGTCATTCAAAGAATTAAAATGTTTACTATGTACATACATATATTAAACGCTGTTCACATAGAATTGACTGGAATTGCTCAAAAATATTGAAATTTTTGACAATAGAGACATTTTTCAAGAAGAATTTGAATTTGCCACAATTGTTTAATTGCTATACTTAACTTTAACTGTTCAACTGTTTCAACTTTATCTTTACTGTACGTTCAATTTTCAAATTTTAAAAGCTGACAAAGTGTGTAAGTTTTTTTTGCATTTTTGAGTTTTTGTCATTTGTCATTCGTTTTATATACCTCGTTTATATGGCAGCTTGAATACTTGACTTGAAATAGGCTGCGTACGCGTTACGCGTTTATTCACCTAAAAAACTGTTAGCGTGAAGTTCCTTTTAGAAAGGTTTTACTTTACATTGCATTTAGTTTCTGAGAATATTGTTAATTTGAGTTGGCAACTATTATTCCTTTATGATGTTAACATGTTAATTTTAATCACCGTGATTTTTCGCACGATTTTACATAAAGGAAACCAAAATATTAGTATATTTTGGTACAATTAGTACCAAAAATATTTAAGTAAAAAAGCCATTTGTTAGAAAAAGGAGTATCGAATATATCGAATAAATTTAATCTTACTCATTCGAATATCTAAAATGGATAAATTTTTCGTAACATACCGAATTATTCGATAGTTGATATTTCATAGTTCCCATCACTAATATTAATGCAAAATGTGAAATTGTGAGTTTAAGAAGAAAATCAGATCAATCGTAGTTGTCGACCATTATAATCTCTGATATGGACAGAAAAATGATTGCGGAATTCAATTGTTCTAGTGTTTATCAGTTATTTATCTTATTCGCATATAATAAGGGAATCATTGCTATTAATTTAATATATAACGCAATGCTTGAACATTGTTACCTTGCACATACAAACACATCCATACGTACCACATGCACAACTTTTGAAGTTTTACAGAATTTAAAAGAATTTACTCCATTAAGTTTTTTTTTTAAATAAATATTTGTTAGATGAAAAATTTCAGTTTTCATTACTGTTAATTCCATTCTGTAAATGTTCAATTTTAATATTAAGTATGTACCTAAACGAAGAAAATGAATGAATGAAGAAAATATTTCAGGTGAAAGTGAAAAGGAAAAAGAAAAATTTATTTAAATTTATGCAGGCGTACAAATATTTTGAAGTTGTAGGATGATGGTAAGAATTTCTTTTTACATACATATGTTTGTGTTTGTACATAATTATGTAACAAAATCTCTTAATCTTCAATATTGTAGTTGCATGAAAAGAAGAATGGAGTGACAATAGTGACAAGGCCCTAGAATAGACTTTTACATTCATAAATACTTAAATTCATAAATACTCATTATGCTCCCCTACTAATTTTTAATGAAAGATAAATAAGTATTCAAATTTTTTGTATGTTTTTAAATTTGAACGAAAGCATCTCATAAGTTTGAAACATAGATCTCCAATAAATTAAAATTTTATGTTATCTACTATCATACACCATTCATAACTATTCCAAAGCAGTTATTGCACTAAATAATATGTTTCCTATTCCCGTCAACCTTAATTTAATATCATTTTAAAATAATTTATATGCATATTCTACTTTTAAATATTTCAAATTTTTAAGCCAGAAAAAATTTTGATAAAAAATTTTGCCTCGACTTCCATTTTCCTTGAAGACACAAAATTAATATACAATACAAAGCAATAGCAGCAAAAATGTTTTGTAGAAACTTGCTAGATGTGTACCTATGTAAAATTGTTAACTGCACTGTTTTTTAAAGTCAGAATGTAACAATGATAAGCACACGGCAACAAAATATAGAAAGGAGGTGTAACTACGGATGTATTAATGAAAAAAAAACTTATTTTAAAAGTGTAAAAGAAGGCAATCAAATGGGAAACTTTAAAAAGAAAAGAAAAATAAATTAAATTTTATAAATTTATTATTGTTTTTTATAAATTTCTTCCTACACCATTGAAAACAACTATTAAGAAGTTAAAATCAATTTGCTATTTTTTCTTAAAGAACAAAAACTCAAAAATTTACAAAAGGGGAAAAAATTTATATTTTAATAGAGAAGCAAGGGAGCGTGGCGCGGCCGTATGTAAAAGAAGAGTAACGTAGTGAAAGAAGATAATTTTTCAATTTTACGTCTGCATGAATAAAATATACGATACAATTAGTTTCCTATTTGAAAATTTAATTTAAAAACAAAATTTTAATATTTAAAAGCATTTAAGTTTCTCTAAAGTTTTTTTCTATTCATAACTTTGATTTTTAAATTTTTGATTATTTTACTTAAGAATTTTTCGGCACATAAAAATAAATGAGAAATTTAAAATGCTTTTAAATTTTTACAACATATTGTTAAAATGAATTTTGAAAACGTTGAAAAGAGAATTCAGAAAATTGATCCTGTGAAAAACCATCCTGTTTATGTTCGATAACCAAATATTTAAAAATATTTATAAATAGAACTGTTACAAATCAGAAACGTATCAAACTGAGATTTTAATGCTCAATTTGTGCCGGAAACTTACAATTTGTAGCAACAAAAGGATAATGACTAATAAGGCTCCGGATTTGAGACAAAGCTTATTTCTAATAATAGTATTCACTATCGTATACTTATTGACAATAAAAATTGTAGCTTCATCATAAATTGCGTTTTTAATGATGAATTGATAAGAAGTAATGTTATCTGAATTCAAGTGATTACAGTAGTCTTGGGTAAACCAAGTATTTGTAAATTTTATATTTATTAAATTTCTTGCGTACAGATTTAAAATTTTTAATTTTTTGTTAAGAAAATATCAGGATTTTTCATGTCAAAGTTTCAAAACAAGAAAAAAAGTCTTCGGGAATTTACAAAAACTTTTCAATATATTTTTTTATTTTTTTGTTGCCCTCTGAAATGTTTTATTGTTTCATATATTTCAAATTACTCTCAACGGTTTCAAGTATAATTTTTTAAGAAATTTTTCTCACATTATTAAAATTTATTTCGTCCCACCTTGTGACCGATTTATCAATTCAATAGATAAATAGGAATAAAGAAACACAGCAAAACAATAGAGAAAAAAAGTTTTACAAAGACAAAAAGGAAATATTTTACATTGTATCAAAAAATCTTATTTAAAAGAAAACAAATCAAGAACATATGTATACACATAAGAAAGAAGGATATGTCGTCATGGGACCAAGCATTTCGAATAAAGAATAAGTTTGGTAAAGGAAAAAATGAAAATTTAGTAAATAAAATTTAATGGTAAACGGTTTTATACAAAGGATAATGCTAAAAAAATAGTTGATCTTAATAATGATCAAAATAATTTGGCAATACAATAAAGAGAAAGGATGAAAAAATTTACACAGAAAAAAAACGAATCAGAAAAAATGGAAAAATCGGTATCAATTGAATTTTTAAAAAAAGATTTTTATATTTTTAGTGCAAATATCATTAGTTTTCTGTCTAGGAAACGTAATGGTAGAGATAAAGCATTTATTTTGATTCTAATATTTTGTTTTTCAATGTTCTTGCTAAGTACACTTAAAGGAAAATTTTTAGGTGTTTAAAAGAAAGAGAAAAAAAATTTATAGGAATATTTCAAAGAAGCTATTTGTTGACAGTAAGGTTTTGTTTGAAAATCTGAAATAAGAAAATTTTAAGTTTGAGTTTTCTTGACAATAATGGAAAATAGTGGTTTTTATTGAACTTTTCATTTTACGGTGAGTAATTTTGATCCATTTTTTTGAATATTACAAATACCTAAATCTTACTTCAGTTGAAGACCGTAGACCATGTTAACACGTAGGAAATGTAACAGATCTGTCCAAGATAAAATTCTCCTGTAATTTTTTTACTTACATAGTATATTAAAAAAATTATTAACATGTAACTCACAAATTTCTCTCAATTTTATGGTGTCACTAACGAAGTCAAATAGCTTTCCTTTGACAACAACTTTGAAAAAATCTCTTCAAATGTGTTACGGACAGGTTTAAATTGTACAAGTTGTAATCTTATTAAATTTAACATTTGTAATACAAAATAAAAATGTTGAATTATTGAATTTTCTTGATTCTTCATAAACCGTTTAAAGAGTAACACTTTAACTTCCTTAACATACCTATATAATAAACATATTCACGCATGTAAAAACTTATATTAATGTAATTTGTTGGACAATGTTCGAATTTACGCAAAAATTTATTCAGACAAGGGAATTTTCCAAATATTTCCCAAGAAACGCGTATAAACATGGCGTATATTGTATATATTTTGAACTAATATTTATTAATATGTACATGGATATGTATATTTATGTGTATATAGGGGAATAAAATAATAGAGGATTTGTTTTGTTTAAACTTTTTTCTCCATTTAGTAGCATGGTAGTAGATTGACTAGGAATTTATAAAGTATGTCAATTGCACTGACACTTTAGAAAATTTATTAATTGTGAAAAAGAACGCTATACAGAAAAAGTCTATATCTAGTGAATGTCATGTGAATACTTAATTTATGGTTTTATCAAAATACTTTAAGGGGGTTGAGGTTGGAGAAGAAAAATCGATAAATTTTTGTAATTCTTTTTAAAGTGTTGTAAATTTCATTCCTTGATAAATTTACGTGGGAAGTTTTTATTTTAATCTACTTATACAAATGTATGAATATATAAAAAACATATACATATATTGTATGTGTATGTGGATATTCAACGTTGTTTTACCAAAAACAAATATTTTGTGAGTGAGAGAAATTTACATTTTATATAACTTTTTATAAATTGCTAACCCGATAGTAAATTAAAATTGTAATGTTATCTTTGCATTAT